CCTGGTCAAATACCCGAAGTGTCCCGATTAATAAGCGTTATAACAATCACAGTTATAGCTTCCGAAGTTTATAGCATACCAATTATAGCAAACCAATAATAGATACTGTTTTTTGGCGCGTCGGGTTATCTTTATAGGCGTGTGGAGAGTTTCTCGAAATTTCAGCTTACGCAACAATACAGGCGATACACTAGCGTTTACGTACACACACATATTGTTGATTCTTACACAAATTTAGAGAATGGGAGGGAATTTCGGAATACACATTTAACAGTATAAGTTATGTACATTTCTAAATGTAAATTTAACTTTTACAAATATTGACATTAAAATAAATATATAATAACAAATCCGTCACAACTTCCTCCTTAGAGAGTTAAAAATTGGCGTTACACTTTTTAACTAAGATATTATATATATTCATTGACAACAATACATTAAATATAATATATTATTCAAAGAATTATAAAACGTCAATAACTATTACAGTACATAACGCAATTAACACAAATAACCTTACGATAATAAAATCACATAGTACGTGAAAGTACATCAGCACAAATGTTATCAACCCATTTGACATGGATTATCTTCATATCATACTCTCGTAGTGATAAACTCCAATTTAACAGTCTTCTGCTTTTTTCTTTCTTTTAGTAACACTATTAAAACCATATCACCAGGATGGTACTTGCCTTCTTCAGCCTTGCGGTCATAAACATTTTTCATTCTAATTTGGGATGACTTAAATTTTTCTTGAGCCAGTTCACAAGCACGTAAGAGTCTGCACTGAAACTTGAAAACGTAATCCAATAAGTGCATGTTTTTCGGATCATCTTCCAACCACTGTTCTTTCAGCAACTTCAAAGGACCACGCACTTCAACGGGCTAAATCCTAATGACTCCTGAACTGACTCACAAACAGCAAATAACAATAAATTAACTCCTTCATGCCAATCCTTCTCGTTATCGTGACAGTAATTTCGCATCATATTTTTCAAGGTAGAATGGAATCTCTCAAGAGCACCTTGCAATTCTGGATGATACGCACTAGATTTGATCTATTTAGCACCGAGCTGATAAACAACTTGCTGAAACAACTCCGACATAAAATGTGATCCCTGATCAGATTGACTTTCTTTGGGCAAACCAACAAAAGTAGATAAATTAATCAAAGCCTTGGAAATTTTTTGGGCTGAAATATTTCTCAAACAAATAGTCAAAACATACTGATTTCCTGATCGAGTTTTTGGTAAACGCCCAACACAATCAATATCCACACGACTGAAGGGTTATTCAAAAGCTGGGATAGGTTTCAAAGGAGCAACAGGAATTTTATGGTTAGGTGTTCTGACCAACTGACAGGTATGACAAGTTTTACAAAACTCAGAATCATCGTGCCTAATTTTTGGCCAAAGAAAATGTCTCATAATTTTGTCACATGTTTTGTTGACACATAAATTTGGTCAACTTTCAATATTTCAGAATGATATGCGGTGGGAACAACGATTTGACAAACAATAGCCCAGTCCTCTGAAGCTGGCACATCTGGTGGTCTCTATTTCCTCATAAGCACACCATTTTTGAAAAAATAATCATTTGGAACTTTCTCCAGTTCATCTTTTGGGAGTGCATATTTAAATAGTGAAGAGATCTGCGGATCTATCAAAATATTTCGAACTAGAGGAGTTGGATTTTTTTAGAAAGATCCTCAATTTTAGTGGATTGAACAGATACAGGTTTTTGCTGAGATGTTATGAATTTCTTTTATGAAAAGTGGTTTTATGTGTTCAAGTGTAGTCATCGGAAAGAGCGGCTGCTTCCTGTAGTGTTTCAACTTTTTTTTCGTCCAGGTAAGTTTTGAGGTCGTCACGTGCACAACGTTTAAATTCCTCAATTAGTCATTATTGTCTTAGTTTGTCGAAACTGTTGCCAGTATGCATAGAATTACACCATCGATCAAAACAAATCTCTTCTTCATGGCCAAATTCCATATAAGTTTGATTATCTTGTTTGCGATAACCTCAAAACTTTTGGCGATAAGCCTCTGGTACTAACTCGTATGCTTTGAGAACAGCTGCTTTAACCTTATCATAATTCGTACAATCTTCTAAAGAGAGAGAAAGCGGCATAAGCTTCTTGTGTTTTACCAGTTAAAACACTTTGTAATAATAATGGCCATTTTTCGGTGGGTCATTCCATGGTTTGGGCAACCTTCTTAAAATGTTGAAAATATTTATCAACTTGTCATTTTGCCTTGGTCAATCAGTATTGAGTCGAATTTCC